CATTTCCCACTTCTCATGACCACTTTGTGTTTGCTCATGGATTTCTCAAGTCTCAAAAAATGTGCTAATTTTGACTTGGAAGAGCGAAGGTAAAAATGGAAATGTGTAGTCCAGGCTATATAAGATATTCTTGAAAATAACTTGAGCATTACTGAATATATAGTCAGACCCTAACCCAGCGGCTGGACTTTGATCTTTCTGCCCACTTTCAAGACAAGCTTTAAGCATGAATTTAGCCTAAAGCGATTGTTTAAAATGTCTGTTCATTTGCGAGCTGATTTTTCGATCTCATTACAGTCGCGATGTACATTTAAGAATGAGCAGCAATTACGTTTTCCAGGCTTTATTTTTGAGCACTACTGCAGATAAATTTTCAAAATTTGATAAACTCTGCAACTTCTCCTCTCGTCTAATGTCAATTTCCAGCCGCACCTCCCACGATAAATGCGACTTAAGGAACTCAATAATTTGACTGGAGGTTTTCCCCAACGGAAGTGGCATACGATGACTTATGATCGAGGCTAGAGCATTGCCTTTGTATTGAGCGGCTGGCCTTCGGCAATTTTATGACCGAAAATCGACTGCGTAAGGTAAACAATCATCGCCACACTGCTTCCCTTAAATGCTCGACAAGTAGCTGAGACAGAACGCTTAGTACACCCTTAAGCTCATTATAGAATTGGTGCAGAATTTAACGATGCTTTAATATGTGAATGATTAAACTAATAGAAATGATTGAGAACAAGAATATACATAGCGATACTGCCTTTCATGCACTATCAACTAGAAATCTTGTGACCCTATAAACTATACCATGGTGTTAGCTTCGCTACTCAGCCGATGTTAATTTCAAATACAACTTCTTCACAAAATAGAAAGTAAAAGTTGGAATGGTTGTCACCTTGCTGAAAGAAACAAAGGATTAATTGCACGTTCCTCTCGCTATTCGTACGGCGCAGGTGACACATAAGCAACTTAATGCCCGCGCCTGTCACCGATACCATTTATCATATAAAGGAACCTGTGTCTACACCTCAAAGCACACTATCCGGCACTGACAATGAGCGCACTTCGTTAAACCTTCAGATGAACCTAAGTCTCCTTCGGTCTCACACGGCTTAAAAAATTACACCGTTGAACTCGCATGAGCCTCAACCTCCTTAATTCTTATTGTATGCGAATGTAAGTTTTCGGAGAAAATGGGAAGAAACAGCCTGCTTCTTGAAGCACGGATGAGTGAGACGCGTTTGTAGGGAGATCTAAAGGGTTCTCTTTTATGGTCTACATCCCAACTACTCATTCATTCAAGGCAAATGAGATTAACAGCTATAGTGACAATGCACTCATTTAATAATACTAATAAAGGTTCTATATAAATATATCTGCAATATTTGTACACAGCACCGAAACGAGTGTGACATCACCATCATCATTTGTGGCCAAGTTTTTGGCTCTTGACATTCAGCCTCATCCCACCTAGGCTCTTCTAAAAGGCCTCATTCTGTTTCTCCTTCTCCCCTGTCGACATGCAACACCCCTTGCCTCCGGCTGTGCGCCAATGAGCTTTCAAGCCATTTGGCGTCACATATTTCTTTTGGCAGCCAGGACAGCCAAACACCTTTGCCTCTCCATCAGTGTGCAGTCGGCGGTGTAGCTTCAAATGAACGAATTGGGTGAACCGCGCAGGGCAAAGTTTGCAGCTAAAAGGCTTCTCCCCACTATGAAGGCGTTGATGTGTCTTTAAATTGCTGGTGCTGGAGAAGCGCTTCCGGCAGATCTGACACTCATGCGGCCTTTCGCCAGTATGCACCAGATGGTGTTTTTGGAGGTGCGCCAGTTGAGTGAAACCCTTGCCACAGATGGAGCATGTGAAAGGCCTCTCGCCCGTGTGCACGCGCAGATGTACTTTGAGGTTGGAGAGCTGTCCAAATGTTTTTCCACACACTGAGCACTCATAGGTCATACGACCTTCTCGACGTCTATAAGTATGTGATTTTGCGGGAGAGGCCTGATTAGGCGGTTGTGATGGTTGTGGTTGATTTACTGATGGTGGTGGTGGTGGTGGTGGCGGTGGCGGTGACTGGAGCGTCGCGGGTGATGTAAGGAGGGGGTTTCGGAGCGCCAACAGGTTCCGCATCCACATATCAAAAGAAAACATGGAAGGACTTGGTGGACTAGGTTCTAGAGGCGGCGGTGGAGGTGACAGTGGGGGTGGCGGAGGTGGAGATTCGGCAAGGAGGCGATCAATAGAGTGAGAAAGAGTGGAGGTGTTTTGGACGAAGGAAGAGGACATCGGGATTGGGGAATTGGTCAAATCCTCAGTCTGCTGAAGGATAGAAAAGAAAAGAAGGGCAGGTTGATTTGCTTTTCCATGTGACTCGATGATTTGCCTCTTTTATTGTTAACGCAAATATAAGTGGATAGCATTGCAACAAATGTAAATTTAAAGCTTTTCTCAAGTGTAGACAGACGCACCATTACAGAAGTTAAGAGGTTCAAGGCAAGACGTCTCTAGCGACCTCCACCTGCGGTAAATATCTAAGGTGGAATGTGCTTCTGCGAGTCAATACGAGCTGTGCAATTACGTTGCTAATGTCCTTATTTAGAGAAATCAGACTGAGCGATCAACAATTAAACACAGGGAGATTTGCGTACCACAGGGGCCATATTATTCCCATAAATGTTCTTTTTATCGAACTTGGACTGACAAAAGGCGCAAATTCAGTGCTGAAGTTTGCACCTTTCCAGAAATTTAGGTAAAATATGTTTTTTGCTCTTCAGCGATAATGCATCTAAAATAAAGGCCACATTCTTGCAGAGAACATTATACTCCAATCTTTTAATCATAGCTCTATGATAGGCGTTAAAATTTACTTAATTACATTTCGTAGACATAGCGTGTTTTACCCTGCCACACTCCTGAACCTAATTCGAGATTTGTCTTATTCCAGGCAACATAAAAAAATAATAGTCCCATGGTTATTTAAGAATAACGAATGTTTCATGATCAGTTGCATAAAGTGCTACAACAATGCTGTGCTAAGTGATAAGCTACTTACTGATTGTTTCGAGGAGAGATTAAGACTTTCACCGGGGCTTTGTGCCGCCGACGTTTTGTGGAGTGAAGAGACCCGTGCAGCGTTTTCCATCACAGAGCAAAGATCGCTTATTTGGTGTGTTTGCGGCGGTGGGGGTGGTGGTGGTGGTGGAGGTGGAGGAGGAGGAGGCAAAGGTAACAGGGGGACGTGGGAGTGGAACCAATCCCGACTCCCGAACCATTGTGGCTGGCCTAGACTGGACGACGTTGTTGGCAAAGAGAAAGGATGCGGTAGTGGAGGCACAACTTTTGATCTCCAAGGGGGGAAGTTATTAAGGAGTAGACTCACGGAATCACCGTTCATTCTTCTAGGTCAGCGAATGAGGAAAAAATGATTAACGTTAGGTATAAAACCGACAATTTGGGAATCGTGCAGAAAAGCTGTGAGTACTACTATTATTCGATTAAAGTGTAATGAAGCAAACATACGAGTTAGGAGATGTTGCACGAAAAAGGAGGTAAATACCACTAAGGGGAAGACGAGTGGATTGGGAATTTTATGTGTGCACAAATCGGAGTCGTTGGTGATAGACAGGAACGTATTTCAGCTATGCACAAACTGAAAGACACAACTACGTAGCGGCATGCAAGGTGGTGCAAATGGTGATACTTGTGCTTTTAACCGCTCACTACGATGGTGGCAACTGAAGCACATGGAAGAGGAAAACGTGCGTGAAGCGATTACGCGAGCACACACACACAAAAACACATCCGCCAATGCTGAAATGCACAACTGGCATTAAACACGCTTGACGGAATCAGAGCTACAATAAAGCACTGGTGCATCCAACATTCTCTAACTTGTATATTTAGTCATTATTGTGGATCATTCTGCTACACTGCTTTTCTTTGGGTGGCTGCCATTGTCATTAGGTCTCGAGATTGAGCCAGAGCAATAACGAGCATCCACGGGGGGTGAATCTGGTTTTCAATTGACAAATGTAATGACCCATCCAACTAATGCAGTAAGTCTACTTTAATTGAGCTACAAGGTTGTATGCTTATCAGTATTTGGATGTGATCGTTGGGGCATAAGTTCACCATTCCTCCCACTATTGGTACACCCTTCTTGCTCGCCATCGGTCCCGCACATACCCCAAATTCATATTGGCTTTTTTGGTCTGCGTATTAGTGTGCGCATGTGATATTGAGAAGGGCAATAAGATTTTCGAATCTACATTCCCTCACCTTAAACAGAGTGTAGCAACCCCTTTATTCAAGAGCCCCTTGATCACTCTAGCACCATACGCCTTTTCGAATCCGACAAATGAACTCGCTAAAATGAGTGATTTATGAAGTTCTGCGCAGTTATTTTGTTGCCCCACTTACAAGAAATCATCCTACGGCATCATTCAATGGATACTTCTCTCGTTCTTTAAATTAGCTTAACGTAGGGTAATCGAGCAAGGTAGAATGATTGTCAGTAACGCCTCCGTACAAATCAACTATAAAAGCAGGAAAAAAAACGTCTCAAACAGTATAGATAGGCGTCTCGTCAATAAACAGCAAGAGTCTTATTTGCACAAGAAATAGCCTAACAGATGGTGACTTACTTTCGGTAACGACGTCTGGACTTGCTCTTTCTTTCGTCTCCGTGGCAGATCAGCAATGAGCTCAGCTCACATGTGCATGTGTATGTGTACGCGTACAAAATGCGTGTGTGCGTGCGTGTGTGTGCGCGGAGTCTCTCTGACCAATCAAATAGTATAGAGGGGTGGGACAGTGGTCACGCGCTTGCGCCTAAGCTTTTATTGGCTCACGTGAGGCGCACACGTGCACTGTGCTACTCTCAGTGTGGACCAATCACTTGCTAACAAGTGACGCGACATTGGCCAATCGTGGCTGCGTGCGTGCCTGGTCAAACTGGTTTTCTCCTACACCACGGAAGGCTAGTAAGCAAAATACACAAGGCTATCGACTGAGAAAAACTCACAAGACTGTCCAGTCAAAATTAACCTACATGTCTCGATCCAGATTATGTCTTTCTGATAATTTACAAACATGCTGTGGTTTAGATTTTAACTGATTAAACATAACGTTTCTGTTGGTTAGATGTGATGGATTGGTGTGAAGTTCTGCAAATGGATGCTGGTATGAGGGTGGATGGTGAAACGAGCTCACTGTTAAAGACCAGTATCAAATGATAGGTTCTAGTGCTCGCTACGATGCAATATTACTCATCTGTCTTGAGGTCTAGGCAAAATTGGTTTGCTTTAATCAACCCTATAGTAAAGGCTTAATAATGATGGGCTTCACCTAAGCAACTTCCTTTTCCATCAAAAATGCTTTTTTTCTGCGACAAGGCGCGGTTCTAATTATTTTACTATAAATTTAGCATTAAATTTTAATAGGGTTACCATTTTAAAGAAATTCTCATAAAAATTTCATTTATGGACTATCATCGTGTTTAGACAAAACATCTCGAAAGTCCTATATGTATCGGCTTTAGGCTTTTCCTTCCGGTAATCATTGGCTCAATAGATTTTTAAAGTTAAGTAGCATTGGACATTTTTTCTATGATCACCACAGGCACACCTTACATAATAATTTAAAATTTTCTCCCTACAAAGAAGTCAATTTCCTTTTACAAGCGAATTTTCTGAGTTAAGAAGATTAAAATCCATTGTTAAACTCTCTCACAAATATATGCGTGTGCTTAAGATAAGATCACTTGCAACATGAATGAGACGGCTATCTGTTCGGGCGTGCAAAGAACAATGGACCGAGATAGATTTAGCAAACGCTATCAGCTGAATCTGCTCTTTCTCCTATGGCTTACCCCATCCTCACCTTTCTCGCTCTCTCTCTGGCCTTTGTCACACGTGGACCGACCGACAGAGCGACACAATGAATAAACCCCGCGGCCAATTATGATGCGCCTATATGGGGCTAGGCCAATGCAAATAAACCTGTGATTGAGATATCCACCAAGTCGAATTAGCCGAACTGCCAGAGCATGTAATGGCTCTTACTTTGTTTATGGTGAACATTGGACTCCGGTCTGCCTGCGCCCGTCCTATGCGTCACGGTGCCTTCAAACGATTCCTACAACTGCGTACTCATCTGTTCATGGCGGCATTTTAGCTGTTGAATAGGGTTTTCAAATAGTAATCGCCATCCACAGACAACGGACAGCATAGTTCTGAGAGCGTTTTTTCTTATCTGGACAATACATGTTAAGTTTTAAGAGTGACTATGATCCTTTTCTACTGAAGACGATCTTATTTTAGCTAAAAGTTAGTTCAACCTAGTCCTACACTAAGTTCTAGCTTAAAAACTGTTTTATTTTGTCAGATTATACCCCTTAGTTGTATCGGCCATTCAAGTTCAAGAAATTAGGAGTGTTTAGATGATCGTTCAAATCATAGATTTTGGTGCTCCTCTAAGCTATTGGGAACGGTTATCAACTAGACTTATAGTCTTTGATCCATGCCAGATCGAAACCTTCTTTTAAACAATCTTTGTGTTAGGAAATGAAGTCAATGCCACTATTGTGGGGTTAATTGTTTTGCGTAGTAATTGATCATTTAGGTTTTGGACCTCAAAGCGGCTTATCACTCGCTCAACGATGAGTGAATAGCCCTATACCCAGGAGCTCGAACATGTCCCTCTAAAGTTGGGTGAAAGGGAGCACGCAAGTGAGGAGTAAATCAAAGGTCCACCTCCTATGAACACACCCGTGCGCGCATATGCACGCACACACTCAAAAGGCGTCGACAGGATGGGCTCGAACCAGGACACATGTGTGCAATGCAATGCAGTGCATTGTGTGTATCTGTGTCTATTAAATCATCACCCTCTTGTGTGTTCACACCCACCCTCAAACACACACACACACACACACACCAGCACCTGTGGTTGCACTAACAAGATCACACCGGCTCCCTCATTGGGGCCAGCCGGGGTGGATGGCTTGACAACTGGTGAAGTTTCTCTTCTCTCGCCTCATTCCTTTTATCGCGTGAGTGGACAGTCGCCTTCCTGTCCGCTCTGATTTATTGAGGAATGGGGGAGGAGAAACTACTGATGCAACTAGGACCTTCGCCTCTTGGTTGTTGTGCTATTGTTGCTTTGTTAATAAGCCAGGCAACTTCAAAGATGGTTTCCCATACACAAATAGTCGAAAGGAATGACACCTGACTGCTATGACGATGCCTACCTTGAACAACTCGGTCATCACAAGGCTGGGCACTATAACTGTCGACGACTTTAAAGGGCAAACCTATATACCATCTATAGCGATTCAGGTGTCAGAGTATTTAAGAGAAGAGGATAGTCCTCTCAGGCACACATTTCAAGGTGATGAATAGACCGCTTCACATTGTGCATGACCCATCACCACAAAACTTGAAACAATTGGGTGATGAGGTCGTGCCAGTAACGATGACACTTGTCAAGGGAATTGGATGGTTTAAGAGAAAGTCGATCAGACTTGATAAACAGGCTTCATTGGTGGCTAGCCGATGACAACCATTCTTCAAAAATAGCTGTTTTACAAGGCAGTTGAAGTAAACTTGTTTGGAAAATTAAGCTTATCACAAATTTAACCTTTATGAACTCACTGTGTCAAATAAATTAAACTTGAAGTGTACCGAGTCTGATCGAAGTTTCACTGCTTTCGAGGCTGATTAACGTTTTCTCATAGTCTGCAAAAAAAGCGCCATAAAGTTGTTTGTGCAAAGATAGTAAAATAAGGCAGCCAGGAACAATTTATTTGCGCCATTTCGGATTTCTTCCCAGAACAAGAAGTCAACACGACATATGCGCAAATTCTCCACCTGCTCAACAGACATGCATTTTCACACGGCAAGAGCGCCTGGTTTAGGCGACGTCTAGCCACTTATTCTTCGTCGCCTACATGCACAAAATGGGACCGATAAATCTGAATATCGTTTCACTGATTAAGTAGGGTACAAAAGTTATTGAGTACCTCTTGTTTTCCATCATTATCGCAGGCACATGTTCATAAACTGAGTACTTCACCGTGTTGCGAACGTATTAGACGAGTTTGAAGTGGCCTATTTCACCTTATCTTTTTTTGTAACTGTTCTTCGAGGTGTGCATCACCCTTAGTGCTTTCGTCTCACCGCCATTGGAGGGAGCAATCAGAAAAAAGAAAGGGTTTTGAGCCCACTATGAGGAGCTACGGTCTTACTGACTGACTCACGACTGGTGGACTTCGTAGCAAGCGGAGAGAGAGAGAGAATCGACTCGTTGTATGCCGTAGTCGTCAAGCCTTGCGTCTTATCGCCTGGGAGCAAATATTTACCCGATTGTCGACACCCCTCCATCCTCTCCCCCCAC